GTAAATATGTACCAATAAAAACAAGAAGGTGAATGTTTGATCAAGTGCATTTGATAGTCAACCTTTTGAAACTTAGTAATCAAGGAGTTTTTAGAGTTCAGTTGTTTTAGTTGTATGTAACTTTCTAATCTTTAAAAAGAGAGATGTTTCATGGCGCTCTAGTAGATCACATGACAAAGCCTTATTGCTTCCTTCTAGGGAGCATGAGTTCAATTTCCACGCACGCTAAAGGCGAGTTCCAAAAAAAAAGAGAAAAAAAGAAAAAAAAAGAGGAAAAAAAAAGGAAGAGAGATGTTTATATCTTATGGTGATTCTTTGATATTATTCAACTACCCTGTCAAGACTAAGAAAATGATTCAAAATTATGTCGCGTCTCCAGTGATCTTGTATTGTAGAAGTCTAGTTAAGAATGTACATGGTTAGCTATTCAGGTGCTAAAGTTGCATGATTTTTGTGATTCTCTCATTCATCAATGTGACATTTCTATTTTATAGCATTGTCGTGTACAATTTACTCAGGACAACACATCTATATCTATTACTAAAAACTCTTATCTTTGGAAATACCACTTGGCAATTTATTCTTTTTTAAATCAAATTATTAAATTAAAAATCTATATCTATTACTAAAAACTCTTACCTTTGGAAATACCACTTGGCAATTTCTTCTTTTTTAAATCAAATTATCTAATACTATTATAAAAGTGGATTGCCATGTTAAAACATTTCTACCCAAAATGCCCTTCAACATATCCATCCATACATACATGAAACCCTCAAATACCCAATTTTTAATTACATCACCATTGACTACACATCCATCCATTCATTTGTACATACATGATGACACATGCATATACTCAGTCTTTCATAACCTTCAATTTTTCAAATAAATTCTCATTAATTTGTTCCACTTCACTCGCTCATAACGGTTTTTCAAATAAATTCTTATTAACATGTTACACTTCACTCGCTCATAACAGTTTTCTATTGAATATCAAATGATTATAGAAATCTAGCAATCCAAATCTCAAATATAAAACTAAATGTAGAATACTAAAGAATATCACATGAGTACATAAATCTACCAATTCAAATCTCAAATAATAATAATAACTATTAAAATTATAATTACAAAATAGTGAACAAAGAGATAAAGTTTACACGTCACTATCGAACTGTGAGCTCAAGCTTTACCATGTTGGGTTGTGGCTCACCAACCTCCGTGTAAATCATTAGGTTTTACGATATATTAATAGTGATGCTTCTACTTGCCTTTGTAACTCACTGATTTGCTTCATCTTTACAACAATCACCTGCAAACTCCCCCTTAGCCATTAAAAAAAACAACAATATCAGTTTTACATCTCTTTTGATCTCTATACTATTAATTTATTATTACTATTATATACAATCAAAAGGTAATCAGAAGTGAACATATTTAGCAAGTGAAATTGAGTTTTATTTGTAAAGTATTTATGTATTCCATTTATTAAACAAATTTGATTAAGCATTTCAAAATTTTAGAGAAATTAAGTGCGACTTTTATGGGACTTTGAGTGAATAGACTTTTTTAAATTTCAAATTACTGAACATTTTTATATATGGTAATAATAGTTGGCACTATCATTATTAGCCGCTATCATTAAAGAAAAACGGTTAATAAGGAGAAATTAAGTGTGAGTTTTATGGGAGTTTGAGTGAACAGACTTTTTTAAATTTCAAATTACTGAACATTTTTATATATGACAATAATAGTTGGCACTATCATTATTAGCCACTATCATTAAGGAAAAACGGTTAATATGGAGAGCTAAAACGTTTCAATAATATCAATAATTAATTTGTGAGACATTATTACTAAAAATCAGTTATAAGTCAAATCTCATATAAATATGTTCCATACATAGCTTCAACCTTACCAAATCTTACCAACGAAATAACAGAGAACACGAGGACACGGAAGCAACAATTTGTGATTCAAAGATGTTAGTTAAAGCATGTTTTTTATGAACATAATAGGATACTTTTTCATAAAGAAATTCAAATATTTTTTTGGATCGAAACCAACGAAATTCAAATATCAAAAGTCTTGGATATACGAGAGGATATTATTAAAAAATCTAGATATTCTTACCTAAATAAATTGTTTGTCTAATTAACTGTACATATTCCCTGAATAATAAGTGTGCAAATTCAATATATATATGAATATAAATTGTTTATAAAAAAAATTTATAGAGTAAACCTTTAAATTTTTAAAACAACCTTGAAACTTCATAATTTTAGAGATATGCCATAAAATTTGCGGAAAGGACCTTGAAATGTCACAAATAAACCTCATAAAAGATTATATTTACTCTAGGATTTTAATGATAAAAAATAGCAAAATATCCTCAAATTACATCTAACACCAAACTTATTATAAAAAAGCTAAACATAAAATTAATCCGACAACGTGCAACGCACATGCACTATACTAGTTAAATTAAAAAATCTATTAAAAAACTAATCTGTGCAAACTCTTTACCATTGAAATTTCCTTTTTGGCTTCCGCGTATCTGTTCATTGGGAAGGAAAAAAACCTTATGACTCTTTACCATTGGAAATGCCACTTGGCAATTTCTTCTTTTTTTAATCAAATTATTAAATAAAAAAAATCTATTACTTTACCATTGGAAATGCCCTTTTGGCTTCCGCGATCTTGCATCCCCAGTCTTGGCCCACAGATCCTCTCGCTTCGCTTTGGCGCGAAAACTTCAGCACCTCCGATGACCCTCCACCGCCTCTGGTCTTCACCCTGGAAGACCGTGTCGATTTCTCTCCTGAACCTGCCATCCATGAGGTACCGATATCGACCGAGACGAAAACCCTGACACTGACACGAAATTACTTCTCTACCACTTCGCCGATCAGGACGAGGGCGGCGGTGGAGAGGAGTGGCGGCGGGGGGGTATTCTTCAATCCATGCTCAGGAGCTCGCCTGCAACTCAAATTCGCCTGCAGTCCCAAATCCGCCTGCAGTCCCAAGTC